TCTTAAGGATAACTATCAGTGTTTCTTTTCTACTCACGATAGAGTTCCCCGTTTCCAAAATAGTCTTAAAATAATCGTCGAAAAATTACGTCACGTAGGAGTAGTTTGTTAAATTCCTCTTTTACTGTGCAGTCCATACTGCTCTGGAATACCTCACCTATTGATGTCAAGAAAACTACTAACAAGAATTCATTTAAAAGATAAGTTCGAGAATCCTATCGAAAGAATAATACCACCTGACTTACCTGACTATTGTTTTGTTTCTCTCTTTCACTATATAAGTGATATTTTTATATAATGTATTTTAATGTGTATTGTGTTATTTTATTTTTGTGTCATAATATTTTATTAATTTAATGATATTGTATAGAAGTACCCGTTTATAAATTTGTTATTTATCCTATATTAGATATTAAGTATGTATATTTTTATTAACTATATCTATATCCAATAATACAATATTCATTTGCATTTTATTTTGTCTTATATCCTTATTACTTATATATATAACAGCCAGGGTTGACTGGCAGAGAACGCCCATAAGGCATTAAGTCCGCCCTTTATATCCCTTATTATAATGTGTAAAATAAATATTAAATAAAAAGTAAAATAAAATAATATCTTCCTGATCGGTTTTTAGTCACGGCGGCCAGTCTCAACAGAGACAAGCCATTTGAATAGGACAGGATTATGATAGTGCTCGTGTGTAAGCGCACAGGTGTACTCTCTACTCCCACACTCTCGTAGTCCGATGGGATGGCAATACAACACCACCAGTGAGAGACCAGGCGCACAAACAACTATTTGCTTGCGCGGGGGTTAAACATTGCCAACTTCTTGACTCCATGATGCTACTGAGAATATCTTGACAGATACAACCCGAAAATTAATTTTGACTCGACTCGGGATTCGAACTCGATACCTCATGATTAGTAATCCCGTTTCCGACCACTAGACCAACAAGGCAGTCAAGGTGGTTATAATAATGGTAGTAGTAGTAGTAGCGTTTTAATCAAATCGTGTAAAAATATAACATCTTACCTCAACGAATTTATTATTAACAAGCCGCTTGTTAATAATGTATTCCTTAATTTATAATATTCTCGCGAAAATTTAATGTTAGGACTTATCAATTGCGTAGGGCGTAATATAGTGCTACAAGTTTTAAAACAGAGGCGCTTATTGTTTTTATTTTACTCGCACCCGATGAACGCTTACAGGATAAAAGGTTGACTAAGATACAACATAAAAAAGGCTGTTTATATTGGTCCCCCATAATTTACAAATCGCTCGATACCAAATAAAATTCCGTAATTTATTTAAATTGTATAGCTACTTCAACTCTATAATTAAAATGCTTCGTATAAAATAAATAAACTTCCCATATATTCAACTTTTATTAAAATAAATGCCTTCTCCATATTTTTTGTTTTTGATCTATCGCAACGAGCTGCGTCACGCAATTCAAAGTATATCGCTCTCAGTTCACAGTTGTTTTATCCGAAGTCATACTATACAGCTGTGGTTTTTTTTAATAAAGATAAGTATAAGTATTACTGTTTTTTTTGTTTATTAAATATTATTACTTAGTATTACACTGTGTTTTATATTTTACAGTTTTATTCTTATTTGAAATTGGTCTACATACTCGTATGTACTCAAAATGCGATCACTTACCACACACACACACACAACACACACAACACACACACACACACACACACACACGCACGCACACACGCACGCACACGTACGCACGCACGCGCACTGCACACACGCGCACACACATGCACACACGCACACACATGCACAAACACACACGCACACGCACACACACACACACACACACATACACACACTCACACGCACGCAAGCACGCACGCACGCATACACGCACGTACGTACGCACGCACGCGCACTCACACACACACACACACACATGAAACACACGCGCGCACGCACGAACGCATGCACACACGCACGCACGTACGCACGCACGCACGCACGCACACACATACACACACACATACACAACACACACACACACACACACACACACACACGCACGCACGCACGCACGCATACACGCACGTACGCACGTACGCAATAAATCGCCGTAAAATACATTGAGAGTGATTTTGAAAATAAAAATTTTGAAAGCAATAAAAAAATTATTGTAAAATAATTATAGTGAAAATCTGCGCAATAAAAAAATATAAAAAATTCTTTAAAATTTAGACTGTAGCTATAGTGGCACCATCCTTATTTTCGCGCTTTCCAACGGACACTTTTTTATCCAGAGTGTGTCTGTCTCCACCATGTTGGCACAAAAGTACACAATGCAGCATTCTGACATCGCGGCATTTCTTTTATAACTTGTCGTTTATATGGACTGCGGAGTAGTAATAGTGTAACGATATTAAACCAGCTATTTATTATGCAAATGCAATCTTCGTTAAAATTGTGTGATAAGGTTTTCGATTCATGCTATTATATAAGACAACGATCGATGACAAAGAGGGAAATAGATGTCTATGGATCAAAGTATCCACTTAACATCACGTGAACTTTGTGAACATTTGTCACCCTTATTTTACAAAAATAAAAAAATTACGGAAAATTTTTAAAACTTTATTTTGCTTGTTTTAAAAAATATTTACGAAAAAGTATATATGTGCAGTTCAAACGCGATAAAAGTGAAACCCTAAGAAAATTATACTTCCAGACAATGAGACGAATGCAGAGAATCAAGAGTGGGATCAGGAGTATGGTCATGTAATTAAAATATAAATCTATTTATAATAAACACTATATACTGTATTCTATTTCAATATCTCGCAGGCTACATCTTATTAGATGTAAAAGTATATGTTTGTCTCTTTTTAGTGTCGTTTTTTCGTTTCATCGAGTTTCAAATCACAAGCAGTTTTCACTTCAAAAATTTTAGCCCAGTCTACAATATGATTCAATAAAGTTATCTTACCAATAAAAACAGATATCTACTAATCATATAATATAATTATATTAGTACTGCATTACAACAACGAAATGGCCACGTCAGCATTATGCTTCGACATAAGTGCTAAGTTAATGCTTAAATATTATTATGCTAATTATAAATTCTTTTTTCTTTGCAGATGGGTAAAAAGATTTCTATTTTCCTGTAGTCTTTATAAAAATTTTGAAGGAAATAATTCTCATGCAAAAATTTCACTCAAACATTTCAGTCACGTAAAACTACTTCATTTAAAGAAAGTATTCAAACTATGAAGTAATTTTAAAATGTTAAAAAATGACTTACGATATTTTTTCAAATAATTTAACCATTTCCGTAGTTCACTTTTAAAGTTGTAAAAATCATTTTAATGTCTTCATCGTAGTCATTAAAATAATTTGTAGCATTCCAGAAAACAATTGAAAATTGATTGGTGATACGGTGGTTCTCTACACTCACCATATGAAGCACAGTAGTATTAAGCTGCTAATTCATGCGTCATTGTGTTGTACATCATGTGACATTGTACTAACTGATGCGGCAGACGTTGACGGCAGATATGAATTAAATAAAATGAAAATATAATAAAAATTCATAATTTTTCAAGTCTAGCACCAGACGCATGCAAAATTGCTAAACCTCAGAAATTCAAACAACTGTTAAACTTCTCACAGTAATTAGTTCAGTAGCACTGCAAGTGTTAACGTAAAATAAAAAGTATGTTAGTTTGTAATATTTTTAAAATCGATATTACATGTCGACTAAGAGAACCACATAATATAGGCTCTCAGAAATGAAAGGAAAATTATACTTTAGAAGCAGGACAGTACTCGTGTTGCCTAGTACATTGTTGGGTAGATGCCTCCCTTATTTAGGAGAAATAATTAAGTTGTAATTAAGCCGTCACACTTCATTACTTTTGGTGAACTTCAACTGAATTTAACTGAATTTCTTCATTCAGACGTATGCACTGCTATGTTCCAATCTGAAGAGTATAGAATAGAATATAATAGAATATTTTTATTCAATATAGATTACAAATAATTTTAATTGAAAGTCATTTTACTTTTACTACTTTTTCAGAAAGATTCAGTCCTGAGAAGAACCAGCAAGAAACGCAGCAGGACCCATTTGTTCTTTTTTTACCTAGAGTGCCAGTTTAATAACAATCTGTAAAGCATTTCATATAAGTCGTCAGAGGTGACAACGCTTCTGTAACCTGAAGTAGCTACCACCAACGGCTAGAATTGTTTGTTATACTAATTTAATTTAAAAAAAAATCCTCACAATGGTTTGCTCGACCTTCGATTACCCTTTACCAATGAATAGCTACGTGGTGACGTAATTTATGGTACCGGCAGTGATAGAACGTAATTCGCTTAGGTACCTAGTTCAAATTTACGATGAGTGCTTATCCTACGAGCTACGATGCGATGACTATTTTACAGTATTTACTATAATACTAAGAGCGTGGGAAAAAAAAAACCTCAAGCCGAAACACCTTAAATAATTACCGCTTTATATAAGCCAGAAGGTTATTTATTATATTAACCTTTAAATAGGTGCACGGGATCGCCGCGACCCCAAGTTGGTTTCAAGTTAAGTTATTTTTTAGCTATTGAAGCTGGCAACCCGAATTTTTTGCTAGCTTCCTAACTCTTTAGTCTGCACTTAATTCAGTGTCGCCGGCGCCGCGGAGTTGATCGCACGCATTACACGGAGGTGCTTGGGGTCGCGACGACCCCGCGCGACTAATAGTGTAGTTCAAATTTAGGTAAGTAAATATTTATATATTATGATTTTAAACTTTCTTTTCACCTTATCATGTCAATTTAGAAAATATTTATTTATGTAAAATACAAAATTGTGTAATTTTTTATGTTTTTGTTTGGTAAACACACGCTATTACGTTTTGCTTTTTCTCTATGCGTATAAACTACGATGACTTTTTTCAGTTTATCAAGTTTTTTTAACAGTTATTTATCTTTCACAGAATTATTTCAACATGGCCCAAAATAGGCAGAGCCTTCGACTTGAACAAATAAGTGCGATTCTTGAAGATGAAGAAGAAGCTTTCGATGAGACTGACAATGAGTTGGGCCTAGAAGGAGACGCAGATACATTTTGGGAGCCAGAGCATGAATCGAACTCAGAATTAAGTGATACTGAAGAACCATCCACACCAACCTCATCCCAATCACAATACGATTTATCTACGTATTATTTGGATAGAGATAAGAGCACAAAATGTAACAAAACTATTCCCAGCCAAAGAGTAAGACAAAGATCTTATAATCATTTGTCAGGCTCAAAAGGAGCAGCAAGAGATGCGAAAAGTAAGACTGATAGTTTTTTGTTATTTTTTGATGAAAGTATTATAGAATTGGTAATGAAACATACAATGATGATACACGAAAAGGCGACAGGAAAACGACTGCAAAGTGTAATAAGTGCAACAATTTTATCTGTGGCGATCATACAAAGAAAATTTGTGATAATTGTTGAATTGTAACAGTACTTACGAAAAAAATATTTTTCTATGGTTCTAAATATCTTTCTAGAATTTTTTGTATTTTTCTAAAAGTTTAATAAGAAGTAAGTAGAATAAAATCAATTAAAGTTGATTACTAACTAAAATTTTTCTTATTTCATACCTATCAATTTGGGGTAACTGCAGACCCCACGCGACTAACCGTGTTAGTTTATTGGCGCGCCTAACTAAAGGTTAACTTAAAAGGAAAGTATAGTAATAGTAGCCTATATATAAAGTAGAGTCCGACACGCTGAAGGTGCAAGGAAGCTGCCCAATGCGAATTGGTGTAGTGGAACTGTGACACGATGTGACTCTTTTGACCAAAGCTGTACGAGGAATTTGAGCCGTATGAGGATGCTTAGCAGACTTTTTTCACTAATGGAGGATTCAAGGAGGTCTATTGAATAGTAGTCTACACCGTCACCGCCTCGCAAATTGTGTATAACCTTCATGGACTCACACACATTCTTTGTACGCCTATATCACTAGCGTACTTTGCACACATCTCTCGTTTATTTGTATGTACCAATTCCTCACGCCGCTAAGCCCATTTCCTTGCGTGCACTCAACGAGGCCAGGAAAACGCACTAATAATATTGGTGAATGTTGCCTTGCGCACTGCTTAGCTAATGTACGTTGGTTGGTTTGACATTGATGACAGACATGTGGTCTTCGAAATATATTTATTTCTCTGAAATGTATGTTTCGTTACAATTGTTCACCGCCGAACATGAGGCAAAACAGCACTATTAATTGCAGTTAAGATTTCGTTCAGCGGGGATCGAACCTGAGTTTCTTACGTATTTGATCCTATATACCAGTTAGTAACTATTTTTATAACAACTATCAACAAGGAGAAATAGAGTTCAGCAGAATTAACGTCAATTAGGAAACAATGGGATAATGCACTGTGCTAAAAGCTCGTACGAAAGCGTTAACTAACAAAATTACATTTCCTACATACCTCACTGCATCTTCTACAAAGACAGTCAAACTGCTCGAGTTCGTAATTAAAATTTTGTTCTAAAACGTATTGCCAGTAATCTACTAAACTGTGGAGAAGTTTAAAAAAATTGATTTTTGATAACAGAATGATGTGTCAACTGTCAATCGTTCATTTCTAGTGACCTGATCGTTACTTCAAGTATTGATTCGTCATACTGCATAGTGTTCGAAGCTTTAAATTTGCAAAAAAAATGTAATTTAAATTTATATCGATAGACACTACTAGTTCAGTAGAGATCCAAATGCAGTGAAGATCCAAAAGAAACCGTATCCGCAGCCAGTCGCCACTGCCGGTAATTAAAGGGCTGGTTCTTTTCTCGCTCCAAGGTTAAATATAGCCATTGGAGGAAACGCAGCCAGCGTTCTTTTCATTATACCGCACTATATGATAATGATAATTTATTGAAAAAAACTTAGTACGGTATTAAAAATAAAATACGTCACGGTTTCTTGAAACATTTCATCGCTGGGCTGCATGAGTATACTATTTTTGTAATCTACTTATGTGAAATATAAAATAAAATAAGAATGATAATATGTCGTAAACAAGTTTCACTTAGTACATATGCACACAATTACAAGAAAAATTATTGAAGCGTAACTTCTTTATCAACGTAGTGGATACGTTTAGTACGGCATTGAAAATCAAAAACGTCACATTTTCTATTAAAGTTTCAACGCTGGGGCTTTATGAGTATACTATTATTTAACCACCTTATGTGAAATATAAAACAAAAGAAGAATGATATGCCGTTAAGAAGTATCACTTCGTACGTGTGTACACAATTACTTGCACAATTTTTTATTATGTAATAATTATTTTATATTAAAATGTTATGTTAATAAACTTAAAAAATATGAATAGCTACTTTATTGAAATAATACAAGTTTTTACGGAATTTATCGCGTATATTTAACTTTTTAAATACCCGACGTTTCGAACGCTTTACAGCACTCATGGTTACGGGCGGGACATGAGATATTCAACGTCCATATGTCATACTCGTAGTTAACCGCGGTTACCATAGATTAAGATTTAACTTTTGTTCCGATCTATGCAGTATGAACTTATGGTATCTTGAAGTCTTGCAGTTGTATTCTTGGGTTGGGATTTAATTTTATTTATTATAGGATCCCAAACAGATGGTAGCACCTAGCCATCTTCTCTATTGAAATTAGGATGTTTTTTGATTTCAATAGCCTCGCGAATTATCCTTGGAAGGAATCGGTGTTCTTTAGCGAGGATTTGCTTTGATTTTGACGGATCCTGTACGTGTTCACAGACTGCAGACTTCCCGGAACGTCGATTCTTCACATCAGCTATATGTTCTTTAACGCGGGTTTTTATTGATCTTTTAGTTTGTCCTATGTAGGAGAGACCACATTCACAATCAAGCTTGTACACTCCTGCATCTTGCAGAGGGACATTACACTTGACTGATGGTAAAAACTGACCAATCTTCTTCAGCGGCTTGAAGTATGTTTTGATGGAAGCGCGCTTCAAGATGTAGCTAATCTTGTCAGTGACTCCTCTAACATATTGCAGTACAGCAGGTACACGCTCGACTGTGGCCGGCTTCACTCGTTCACTGTGACGTAGGCGCGGGACTCGAAGCTTGTTGTCATGCAAAACTTGCTTGACATGGTGGAGCTCTGCAGCCAGGTGTTTACTGTCACAGATCCCTCGTGCTCTCTGAAACAAAGATTTACCCACGGTAGCTAACTGTGAAGGATGGTAGTGAGAATCACCATTTAAATATCTATCTGTATGGGTCTTTTTTCTATACACAGTATGGCTCAAGGTGTTATCAGGATTCCGAATTACTAACACATCTAGAAAGGCTAAGGAATTGTTTGCCTCTAACTCCATTGTGAACTGAATTTTAGAATTTATAGAGTTAAGATGGTCTAAAAATGCAGTTACTTTATCTAAAGGTAGAATTGTGAAAGTATCGTCACATACCGCTTGTAGAATCTTGGATTTATGGGAGAAGGAAGCAGGGCTTTCTCCTCAAAGTCTTCCATGAATATGTCGGCGACAATGGGAGATACAGGTGAGCCCATCACCACACCATCTACTTGCTTGTAGAACTCCTCCTTCCACAATAGGTATCCAGATGTAAGGCAGTGTCTGAGTAATACTGCATATTCTACGGGCATGTTGTTTTCTTCCAGCCTTCTAGTTACAATTGAGATGCAGTCTTCAACAGGTAAGCATGTAAACAATGACTGCACATCAAAACTGACCATAGTTTCATTGTCTGCCAGATGTAGGTCTTTAATCTCGCTGACAAAATGGTGGGAATCCTTTTATGTGTGCTCTTGTATGTCCCCTGCGCGGTGAGAGTATTTTCGCTAAGTGTTGAGCCAATCTGTAATTGGTGAATCGATTTGGCTCACTATTTGACGTAATGGAGCATTGGGCTTGTGTATTTTTGGTAACACATACAATTTTGGTGATTTGACGCACGTAGGTATTATCCATTTTACGTCCAGATTTAATTTTTCGTTTATCGTTAATTTTTAATTTTTCAAATTACCATACGAAGAAATTATCTGTAGTATCGAGGACTGTTTATTTAAAAACAATATGCGGAAAGAAAGCTTGTACACAGCTTGATTGTGAATATGGACCATTCTCTCCTACATAGGACAAACCAAAAGATCAATAAAATAGATTGTTCTCGTTGTCCGTTTATTGATACAAGTCAAAGGAGTGTTCGTGTGTATTCGTATCCGTATTTACATACTCGTCATTGTTCAGTTGACCAGTGAACTATCATTACAATCTACTCAGCCAATCTACCGTTATAATTTTCTGTAATTCTTTGACAAAATATATATAAAAATTATGTATGTTAAGTGAGTAAGCAAATATTCTTGGTTCAGCTAAAATGAAGAATTTCACAAGAGCGACTACTATTTACCACTTAATACTAACTATTTCTAAATTTTCTGCCATCTTTTAATATTTGCTTGTTTATAATATTAGTGATTTTATAAAATTAAGTCGAGATAATATCGTAGAAACGAGAAGTAATCTATGTTTAAAAAATCTAATACGTGAACTCGTCGTACTCGTCCATGAACAACTCGGCGAGTTGTCAGGCAACTTGTTATAAATGTTCAAATGCTTTTTCGATGAAAATTATGTATTATAACCAAAATATCGATTTCATCTATGGATGCATGTTTCCATTTCGAGGGAACGTAGCGTGAATGGGTTGTTTCGGCAGGGTCGAACCATGCTGTCACAGAAAACCTACGTCAAATGGCCACTAAATAACGATTTAATTAAAAAAAAATTATCACAAACAAACTTTTAATCAAATAATTTCAAGACAAAACTGGGCATAGGCTATTTTCTAATAATTAAATGCAAATTTAAAAATAAAATGAAAAATGTCGGTCACGCAATCAATCACTATCAACACGGTGTGTACTCGTCGACGGCTCGCGGGCCAAATGGGCATGTTGCTAGGTGACGCTGCCTTTTATAGGGGCAGATTTGTCTTCATATCTTCTCCTCCAATACGGCCTCTCCTGACAGGAGACCATCCCGGGCTCCTTTAATCCTTTATTCATTCCAGCAGAGGCATGGAAAGTTCTGGTCCCGCTGGCATAGGAACGTGGGGTGGCAACATCTCAGGCTCGACGTGAAGTGATGACGTCTCTGGCTCAACGTGAGGCGGTGACGTCACAGGCTCGACGTGAAGCTCTGATGCATCAACAGCAGCACTCCTCGGCTGCTGCACCCCAGATGTACTAGGCTGTGGGTCGGAGGCAGGCTGGCTGAGTGGCGAGAGAACCCCGGCAGAGGCGAGAGTTGACTCCTCGTTTTCGTGGTTTGAATCTGCACAAAACATTCAACAAATACCACCTGAGTCTACGTGACTCACAGCTAAAATCCAAAATAAATAGCGCCCACTAAATTACTGAGAAAGAGGCACGACGTGAAGCGTATCTTCAACAAT